AAGTTATTATAATTTAGATTATTAGATAAAGTGATGTTTAACTGAACAAGGACATTTCCACAGTATTTCTTGAAATGTTTTTTTTTTTATCTGGAGAAAGTATTATTTCTTTTTGTTTGGCTGGAAGAAAAGCTTATTTTAAGTTTTATTGTAAAGAAAACAAAGAAAAAAAACAATAGAGATTTTTTTATATTGTCTACAGAACAAACTTGTCAAATTGACCTAACTTGGTTAACCCAATAACCTCAAGCCATTGCACTTTAAGCTGAATAGCATCTTGCTAAATAACTAGTAAAATATTATGTAGTGTCATCATGGTACATATCAGTTCATCAAAAAAAAAATATATATATATATATTATTAAATCTATTATGTTTAAAAACATTGAAACAAATCTCAGTTATACAGAACACTTCAGTCGGGCTAACAATTTTGACAACAGTATATAATAATTATATAAAATATATTTGAAAAAAAAAAATCTAAAAATTTGTAAGTTTTTGGCTTGTGAAAATGTTGCCAACAGAAAAAAAAATCCTCAAAGTCAGTCCATCTCAGTGCAAGTTGCTTTGAAAACCAACCAACACTTACCAAGATTCCTAAAAGAAAAATTATTTGATTGGTATTATTGCTCAATTTCAGTCTTTGGCGGTGTTGTTTCCTGTGAGCAATTTGAAAGGTCTCCATGAATCAGCGTCATCGAGAAGACAAAGGCTCTTTGTTTGAGCAGGACATGTAAATATCATTGTCGCTTGTGTCACCGTCAGCCTTCAGATCCGCCCTGCTAAAATCTCACAAATAATTCATCACCTGAGCCCGAGGGGAGAGTGGGAGGTGAGAAAGCAGGGGATGAAAGAAGGAGACTGTAGGAAGAGGGTTATGGAGAGTCAGAGAGCTACTGTACATCAGCTGCTTCTTCATCACACTTCACACACAAGCTGAGTCACATGCCGCATTCATAACACCCTACTCTAAGTAAGATTTATGGATAACACTTTGCAATAAGGTTTCTATTACAGTTTTTTTTAGGATTGCTTACACACTAAAATGAAAAGTAGTACACTATTAGCAAAACCTTACACACAAGTATCAAAACATCAGCCCATATTTGCACAACTGTAAGCACATTGTCAACTTAACACTTGTTGCAAAACTCTACACACAGTGATTTTCAAAACCCTAAACACACTTAGCATACATTAAACACTAAAATCTATCATGAAGTCACTTCATTGCAATACCAAAGCACGGACTGTCAAATTACTGCACCGTCTGACCAATTGGTTCAACACAGTCATCAGGTGTGCAAACACTTGTTTGATTTATTGTAGACACAACAATCAGGTGTTTAAGCACTATAAAATGCCAGTTTCAATGAAAACCATCAGGTCTCAATATCAACACTGGCACACACCATAAAAAAAAAACATATTCAAATGAAGCAAATTTATGGAGTGCCTTTAGAGCACAATTTTGAAAGGGTAAAAAGACTGTGGCATGATTATGCAGAGGTATGTATTCAATTTAGCAGTGTGATCTTGCATACTGTCTCATAATCTTTTACTGTACTGTAATACTAGATCTACACTGAACTACACAATTTTGCCTGACACTGTTCTTCAGGTAGTTTTACGAATTAATGGAGAGGAGATCGAGCATGAGTTCATTTACGTAGATGATGGTGTGTTCAACCTGACGAGAACACGGAGTAGAAGAAATATTGGCCACAGGGCTATAGTCAATGTCCCAGGGCAACGTGGGGGAAATATACAGTAACACATGTGCAGCCATTACAAAGAATGGGGTCCTCCACTGCCATGCCCATATGGGCCCTTACAGTATAACACAGCACATATACTTACATTCTTGGACCAATTGCACAACATAACAGCAGCAAATCAAATTGGTCATACCCAGTACATTGTTGTCTGGGACAATGTGTCTTTCCACCGTTCTGCTCTGGTTCAGAACTGGTTTTAGCAACATCCACATTTTACCGTCCTATATCTTCCAGCATACTCTCCATTCCTCAACCCTATAGAAGAGTTTTTACCCCTCATCCAAGCCATGGAGGAGGCCTGTGACCAGATGGAGGTAGCAGCAATACGTGATTCTACATTCAAGACACTTCTTTTCAAGGTGTCTTGCTAAGGACAACATTGCAATTGATAATTCTCATGCCAGATCCAGCTAGGCGAAGAGACAATGTCTAACTTACAGTTCAATACGTAAAGTGACATGTTACAGTACTTTGAATCTTCATGCCAATATGTTGGACATGTTGAGGAATTAATGAGTTTCTTCAAGGTGCAACATTGTTCTTGAGTAGTGTTTGGTGAATTTACTTTATATTTGTACTTTGTAGATGGTAGCCTACTCTAATCATAGGGAAGTAGAAGTGCTAAAAGTGTTTTAGGTTTATCACAGCAGAGTGTAACTCGTGCAAACAGTGTATAGTAAATGTGGAAATGTGTGTTTCTTATGGTCAAAAAGTGTGGTTTTTAAACATAAGTCTATAGTTTTTATAAGAGTGTTTCATTATACAAAGGATCTGTAGTGTTTTGCTAATTGGGTGTGTGGTTGTGCTAATTGTGTGTACTGTTTTGAAAATACGGGCCCTGTTTTGAAAATCGTGCTTAAGCAATCCAAAAAAACTGTAGTTAATGTTAGGTAATGCATTACTAACAAAACATTTATTACAGTATTGCGTTAAATTCGTGTATATTTTTATAGCGCTTTTGCAATGTAGATTGTGTCAAAGTAGCTTTACATAAAAGTTCTAGTAAATGAAAACAGTGTCAGTCCAGATTTCAGAGTTGAATCTCAGTTTAGTTCAGTTCAGTGCGATTTAGTTTTCATTTCTGAAAGTCCAAACATCTAAGAGCAAATCCATCGATGTGCAGCTACCAAAACCAAGCAAGCCAGTGGCGAGGAACAAAACTTCACTATTTGATAAAATGGAAGGAAAAATTCCTAGAGAGAAACCAGGCTCAGTTGGGCACAACCATTTCTCCTCTGACTTATTCAACTTAGATACTATTAGTTAATACAGTGCATTAACTAATGTTAACATACATTACTTCATATTTTAATAATACATTTTGAACAATGATTAATAAATGCTGTGCAAGTTTTGTTTATTCTTAGAGCATGTTAATAGAGTAACTTATGATACCTTATTGTAGAGGACGACCAATTTATGTCAAACTACACCTTCTTCTTCTTCTATGGCCTTAGTCCCGTATGGTTCCGGGGTCGGCTTTTTGGAACAAGCAATTTTAAACCTGTCCATAAAATAACGACTTTATTTTATACATTCCGGCCGGCCTACCCAATTCACCTGCAGCATGTCTTTGGACTGTGGGGGAAACCCACACGAACGCAGACAGAACATGCAAACTCCTCACAGATATGCCAACTGAGCCGTGGTTCGAACCAGCGACCCAGCAACCTTCTTGCTGTGAGGAGACAGCACTACCTACTGCGCCCTTATGTCAAACTACACCATTTGCTTTAAAATTAATTAATTGATTCATTTTTCCTTTGACTTAGTCACTCATCAAGGGTTACCACAGCAGAATGATCCGCCAACTATTATGGCATATGTTTCATGCGTCAGGTGCCCTCCCAGCCACAACCCAGCTTTGGGAAACACCCACCCACACACCACACACTTTCTCACACACACACACACACACACACACACACACACACACACACACACACACACACACACACACACACACACACACACACACACACACACATACTGTTTGAAAGAAATCTGTACTTTTAGTCAAACAATTATTACTTTTTCAAATAAACCGCTTTCTTTTGAAGCTTCTGTTAATCAAAGGATGTTATAAAATGCATCTCTGCCACTATAGAAAAATAACTATTTTTCAACTTTGATAATAAGTCCAATGAAGACCAAATCAGATTTATTTGTTTTTAGAATCTTATTTTATAGTTGTGTTCGAATAAAATGTCATTTTCATTTTATTTTGGAAACTACTGATGACAGTTTTTCAAAAATTTAAATAACAAAAACTGATAATTTAGAGCATTTTTGTGCATCAAACTTTGTGTGTTAGTCTTTAGACAACACAATACAATTGTTTTTTACTTCAGAAGCGTCCTTATGTAAGAATTCACAATGTTTCATTTCATTTATTTCAGCAAAATACTGAGTGCAGGATTGACAGAAGACATGCATTCATACATTTTTCTTCAGCTTAGTCCCTTTATTCATCAGGGGTTGCCACAGCGAAATGAACCGCCAACTTATCCAGCATTACGTTTTACACAGCAGATCTCCTTCCAGCTGCAACCCGGTTATGGGAAAAACTCATTCACTCACATACAACACAGCCAATTTAGGTTATTCAATTCACCTATACCACAGAATTGCCAACTGACCCAGTTGGGACTCGAACCAGCGACCTTCTTTCTGTGAAGCGACAGTGCTAACCACTGAGCTGCCATGTTGCCCACAGACGACATGCACTAAAATGCAAATTAGGCATAAGTAAAAGAATCAAAATCCTAATAAATAGTTTTATTCATAACATTTTAGCTTCTTACTTTGCCACCATCCTTCATACCACCAAAGATTTGACCTTTTTTCATCAAGAAGTTTTTAATTCTTTAAAGTGTACCCGAATATAGTAAACACTTATTCATTCATATATTTTAATACAGGGCAGAATAAGTGGCATATATTGTTTCATTCTTACAGGTCAGGATGACGATGGAACATTATTTCACAAATAGTTTGACATTTAATGTTCTCAAAAGTGTTTTTCCAAGTGGACGCTACTTTCTTTTTGGCACCTCTACTTTGACCAGAAGGCCTATACCGAGTACATTAATTTGCTATTCAGAGTAACCTGCTGAACAGATATCTTTTTTTTCAGCCAGACAACCTTCAAAAATATATCAATCATTTTTACTGTCGTGTGTAAATATATATTAACCACATTTATTGTTTCCCGCACAGGGTTACCTGTCAGAGGGGATGGTCACTAAATGGTACCGTTCGCCCAGACTGCTGCTGTCTCCAAATAACTACACAAAAGCGATCGACATGTGGGCCGCAGGATGTATTCTGGCCGAGATGCTCACTGGACGAATGCTGTTCGCAGGTGAGGACAAAACACTTTCTGCTGCTGTCCTGTTAACCTTGTGGTTCAACAGAAACGTCAATCTTCATTATCTGGAGTCTCAGAGCGGCCTCTAGTGGCTGAATGTTGAAATAGATATTTAGACCTGATGTGTCAATTCATCAGTTTCACAGTTCTGCACTGCATCGGTAACATTGTAAATAAATGAAGCATTTTGTGTAAAAGATGTTGCAAATGTCATTTTTTGTTGTTATTTCAGTTACAATATAGGAAAAATGCATGACTAGGGTTCCAGTAATTTCAGTAAATGCAAATAGCAATAAAAAACGCTGCTGTTTTAAATATGCTTATAGTTTGTGTTTATATGATATTTTTAATGATGTATACATTAAATGTATATATAAAATATTTACAGGTCTAAATTATATTATCAACACATTTCATTTTGGCTTTAAAATTGTTTTAAAATTAGAATGATTGCTATAAAACATTACTTTAAAAAAGAGAAATGTCTTAATTATTGAAGTGTACCAGCAAAATAAATAAATAATTAAAAACACTATAAAACAATGTGATATATATATGTATGTATGTATGTATGTATGTATGTATGTATGTATGTATGTATGTATATTAAAATCAGTGACTCAGTATTTTATTTTATATTTTAATTGCTAGTCTAAATATCACTGACTCAATAGTCTGACATTGTGTGTGTGTAAATGTGTGTGTGTGCGCCTCATCTCAGGTGCTCATGAACTGGAACAGATGCAGCTGATTCTGGACACGGTGCCCGTCATCCGAGAGGAGGACAGACAGGAGCTGCTGAGGGTCATGCCATCTCTAGTGGGTCACGGCTGGCAGATCAGGAGATCCTTCAGAGATCTAATGCCAGAAGTGGAGGACAAGGGTGAGTCCAGCAAACTGCTTCTGGAGACAATGCACTGCAGGGCAACAGAGTTAACAGTTTATCACCATACTTCAACATCTGATTATTACATTAAGAATTACACACTTTTTGTATTGCAAATGTGTAAAAACGTTGATTAAATGTTTAAATGAGGCAATAGAATAGAGGCAATTTTTTAAAGGGAAATTTCACCCAAACAAAGTTCTTTAAAATTCACTCACAATTTAAGTGGGTCTAAACTTTAATGAATTTCTTTCTTGTATCGAACACAAAACAAGATATTTTGAAGAATGTTGGAAAAAGCGGCCACTGACATCAAGAGACTAGAAACAAACAAACAAAAAAATTAAATAAATGGTTTTCCCCAACATTATCCAGTATATCTATACCTTTGTGTTCAACAGAAGAAAAAGCTCAAACAGTGGAGGGAGATTAAATGATATCAGAATTACAATTGTTGGGTGACATTTAATTGTAAATATAGGCAAATTTGGATATATTTCTAGAAAGAAATGTGAACTTCGAATGCAGTCAAGATTGAAATTAATTTTTGACATAGTAGAGTCAAAAAATTTTACGAAAGAAAGAGCATTTTCTCATATTTATCACTCTGTAATTCTTGAAATAATTAGTAGAAACATCATACATTTACAAATCCTTCAGTAAAAATGTTTAGAACACAGATATGAATAGATATGAAAAGTTGAATGTGTGTAAGAGCTGCTGAAGTGGAGATATATAGCTTTCTGTCAAAGAATAAACTCATTTAGAGAAAACATTCTATTTATTGAAATTGAAATCCAAAAAGGAAGGCTCAAATTGATAAAGTATGACAAAAGAAACAGTTTAAAGTGTATTTGGGATTTTTCTCCCCTTCAAAATCTCAAAATCAAGAGGTGCGTGATGTGTTCAGCATGTGTAACTGTGGTTTGTCATTGATTTGATGGTTTCAGCCATTGATTTCCTTGAGAGTATCCTGACCTTTAACCCCATGGATCGTCTGACGGCAGAAGCGGCTCTGTGTCAGCCGTTTCTGCAGAGATACTCGTGTCCTCAGGATGAGCCAGTGTCTCTGCAGCCCTTCCGCATCGAGGACGAGCTAGAGGACAGTCTGGTGACTGAGAGCACTCACACTCACGGGCTCCGCTCACACTGGGACAGGTACAAACAAACACACACACAAACACAGGCTATGTTCAAAATGCCAGGCTATTATGCTACTCTTACTATTTCTGCAGTATGTATGTATGCATATTCTCTGTATGCATGGCATACTCGGATGTTTTAATAGATTTTCCAGAATCTGCTACATATAACTTAAATCAGTACTTAAGCTGCTTTTGAATCACATGCTACCATGCAAATCATTTTCACATTCTTAAAAGTGTATTCCAGTCGGAATAATCTTAATAATAATACACAAACAAATGTGAAATATTGTACTAGTTCTTCCTTTAAACTATATACAAAACAGTGCTTCAGAAAAAAATTGAAAGTGACAACGGACATTTTATAATAAAGACAAATTATTATTATAAAGCGTTAATTATCAGCAACACAAATTGTTTTTTGTTGCTTTTCAAAATACTTATTTAAAATGAGCTGAAACAACACAATTCTTGAGATTTTATTGGGACAACTAAATTATTTTATGTTTAATCCATTTAAATTTGTAAAAACTAATAAGCCAACTTAATTCCAACACAAATCGATTGTGTTTTTACAGTGAAACTAGAAAGTCTAAGCTGAGATTTGTGGACTAAATACAATGTTGTTCAAATTAAACTGCACAGACCTTCTTGATCCTCTTTAATGGTGAAAGTTTGATGGTTAAAAGTTTGCAGCTACATCGACACTGGAGAAGTGAAAAGAAGGGTCACATTATGAGGCAGTTTACACAGACGGCTGCTGAAATGCCCAAAGGAGCAGCTGGTGATGTCCAGTGAGGCTCAAATATAGAAACGTATTAATCCTCTGAATAATTCAATCTCATGGTGAGCTGTGTGACATCTTAATAAGAAAGTCACCTTTTGTCTTCTGTGTGGTCATAAACTAAAAAAAGCTGCTTTGTCAAACTAATTATTTGAAATGATCTAAAACGAAACAATTCTGGACTTTTTTTTCGGGGGAGACTTAATTGTTTTATGTTCAACCTACTTACATTTGTTAAAACAATTACTCTAACTTCATAGATTTGTGTTGAGACAGCATAGTGGAATTGTGTGGAAGTCAGCATTTTTTTTACAGTGTATGAAGATCTGCCTTGACTGATCAGAGACCACACTGACTTATTTTGAAGAGTTTAAAAGCTGCTGTTAAATGGAAATGAGCTTGTGTGCTGCAGGTGATTTCCATTAGCACAGATGCAACAATAGTGGTCAGAAAAGAAGCTAAATTTTTTAAATTCATTAAAGCTGGTTTAAATAGCTGTACAATATGGTTAAACTGGATTTTTTTTTTAAAAATGTAAAAATCACTTTAAAGAAATAAAAATATATTTTTGGCTATATATATATATATATATATATATATATATATATATATATATATATATATATGATGTAACTTTACATCTAACATTTACATCTGAACATTTTCTTCAGGATTCAATCATAAATAGAATGTTAAAAAGGTACACTTTCACTGTTTTACTGTGGCTTGTGATTATTTAAATTCATTCTTGTTAAATAATTAACATCATAATAATATATCAGAAACAAATAACAAATATTTTCTGATAATATAATGACATTTTTTAGATTAGTAATTTTATTTTACTTTTTTTCTTTTTAATAATATTTTTTTAGACTAAAATGTTAATGCTGACCTTTTCCCCCTCCAAATCTCAAATAAATATTGTCATGACCCTTTTTGTTCCCCTGAAAGAGACAACTGGTCCAAATAACTATTGTTTATATTTTTAATTTTTAAAAAGTAATTTTATTCACACGTCTGAAGCTAAAATGGTATTGTTATTGTTTTGTCTAAAAATGTATAAAAGAGTCGAGAACCTTTTTTGTTTTTTTTTTAACCAAGAATATCTTATACACGCGCACACACACAAACATATACACACACATACATATATATATATATATATATACACACACACACACACACACACACACACTCACACAAACACACATGTGTGTGTATAAGATATTCTTAAGATATTTTATATAAATCATATATATATATATATATATATATATATATATATATATATATATATATATATATATATATATGTTTATATTAATTGATATTGAGAAAAGTACCTTTAAATGTTTTAGCAAGGTGCATTACTAATCATACGTTTTGTTTTGGTCTGTCCTGTACATGGATTATGTTCTTTACCAAACATTTCAATAACTGTTGGGAAAACAATAGAATCGATGCATTGCATTTTTGACTCATCCCAAAATATACCTGTGCAACATAAGAATAAGAGGTTTTGTGCTCTAGGATGACTTTACTGGTAAAATAAAAACAGTAATAAAACTACATATGCCTTTTTTTCCTCAGGTATGACAGTAGTCTTTCCTCAGATGTTTACTGGCCTACCCAGGACCAGTGTGGCTGCATGCAGAGCGTCTCAGAACTCGGAGAAGCTGAAGATGAAGAAGTTCAAAGGGACCCACGAGCCAGTTCAGCTTCCCACATCGAGGAAGCGCAGGTAGACCCTCGCAAGTACTCCCACAGCAGCTCTGCAGAGCGATTCCTGGAGCAGTCACACCCATCCCTGGAGCGCATCTGTGGACACTTCAGCGAGCTGGACTGCGGACGCTCCTGCGACTACAAAGTGGGCTCTCCATCCTACCTGGACAAGATTGCATGGAGAGAAGGAAAGCCGCAGCATTACTCTGAACCCAAACTCATCCTAGACCTTTCCAACTGGAGGAACAACAGCATGGCTGCTCCAAGACAAAACAGCGCAGAGAAGCTTCTGACCGAACCTGGAGATCTTTTCCAGGAGATCTCGCGTTGGGTGGAGACCACACAGTCAGGTCTCCATTCACCTGGTTCTCCTCAAGAACCTCCATCTTCTCCATGTTCACCTCCTTTACCGCTTTCTCCAACATTGATGCCTCAGTCTCAGATTCAGATCCCAGCGCCGCTGACATTGCCCAGTCCTCTATCCAGAAGAAGCCCGACGCCGTTCTTCTCCGCTCCTCCATCTCTGCTGCCTTCATCTCCTTCATCTCCTCATCACGGTTCTTCCAATTATCCGTCTTCCTCCATTGGTTGTGAAAACTATGAAGAGCCTTCACAGATGCGTCCATCTGGAGAAGAACATTTCGACCTGGATGTGTTTATCTCTCAGGCTCTGCAGATTTGTAGTCAGAGTGAGATCATGGAGAGCTCTGATGACCTCAAATCAGACAACATTAGTGATGTCTGCAACGTATCGGACGACCACAGACCTTCCAGAACACAAACTCCAACCCCTGAGATGGTGAAGGCTCATGGATGTCATAAGGAGCACTGGTAGAGGAGACGTTAGGGTTAGTATTTAAGGTAGCATGAATGAATGTGAACAGCTTTTTGAGATTGTCCTTTTATTATCTGAAGGTGAGATTCTGTATTCAATGAGAAACGCAAGTTTTGGCTTCTGAAAAAAAAAGTATTGGTATTCTGAAAAAAAAAAAAAAAAGATTTGAGATCTTGGATAAGAGTTGAATTGAGTCTCGAGGACATAGTTATGGAAAATTTTTGTTACCTATTAAAACAGGGGAGTCCAAACTCAGTCCTGGAGGGCCGGTGTCCTGCAAATTTTAGCTTCAACTTGCCTCAACACACCTGCAAGGATGTTTCTAGAAAGCCTAGTATGAGCTTGATTAACTAGCCCAGGTGTGTCTGATTGTGGTTGGAACTATGCAGTACACCGGCCCTCCAGCACCCCTGCTTTAAAGCCTTCTGTCCATCTCTCTCAAAAATGCACAGTTTTAACTGAGATTTTTTTCCTATTTTATTTATTTACTTTTTCATTCTGTGCACTAAAAATATTTTCACTTAAAAATCGCTAGTGAACATAACAATGACTAGGTTTACAAACTTTACATGGACATCAGTGATCGAATTATCTGTCTTAATCTGAATAGGACAATAATACGATGAGCATCAGTTTCTTTTTGAACATTCCTTTCATGATCCCGTTTTATATGTTACAGCACATAATTCCATTAACATCACAACGCTATCCACATTTCCTCCAGAGTTTCATGTCATTTTGGGTGTTTCGTTTTTAGTTTGTGGACTTTAGCTGCAGTTTGGCACTTTCATTCAGGAACATTTCATGCATGTCTCCCGTGACCAATGAGATATTGGATGCGCGTATTAGTACTCGCTGAGTATGCTTACATGAACGCCAATAATACGAATTTAATCTGATTAAAACAATACTCTGGTCAAGAGTCCACCATGTAAACAGCAAAGTGAAAGTGCCAAACTGATGTTAATGTTATTTGGGTGTTTCATTTTCAATTTGTTGACATTAATCAATAATCCATAAACCTTAATCATATTGTCATTTTCAGATTAAGGCAAATAATTCGATTACTGATGTCTATGTAAGCGTAGTCGGTTATACACTCTGAAAAATACTGGTTTGTTGTAAACCAACTTTGTCAAATATAGTCAAGCATAACCGTTGGGTTAAAAAGTGTAATTTAAATTTAATTGAAAAATATAACCCAACATAGGGTTTGTCCATTTTTGACGCAATGTTGAGTGATGACAACCAGAATTTTTAGGGTAAAGAAACACTGAATGAAACACATTTCAACCAGAAATGTATTTTTGTAAAACACTCCAAAAACAGAGATTTTTTTTTACAAATCTGAACATGTCATTTTTTATTTAAGTCCTCTGTCATATTTGAGCTTTTCTGGAAAATATTCTAAATTATACATATATTATTAATATTTTTGGTGAATGATTTAAAAATTACACATGTAAACATTTTCTTTAGACACATTTTTCAAGCATCTTATGAAAATGCTAAATATTTTATTCTTTCCTTCCCAACTAATTTGTCCCATGACCATATTCCCTCGAGCAATCTGAATCTCAAACTAAAACACTTTAGTGAATGTAAGTAAAAGAACTGCAAAAGAATGAAGGCTTTATATGTCAATTGTTTAGTTCAAACTTTAGTCTGCTTTTTTTTTTTTTTTTTTAAATGAACACTTAATTCATTAAACGATGTGTGTAATGAAGGTCATTTTGTTCAAGTTATTTAAAGAAATTGCACTTTTTGATAAATATATTTAAAAAGTTTTCACTCACAATAAAATCAAGTCTCCAGTTAATCCTGTTGTTTAGAAAAATGTTTCATTCCATATAAGACTTGTCATTTTGGATGGCGTGCATGGATATAAAGAAATCTTCAGACCCACTGTACTTCTAGCCAAGTGAAAATCTGTAGAACACTGTGTCTTCGAAAGGTTTAATCTTCAGACCAAGAGCCATGAAGTCATAAAAACGAAACCCCATCGTCTTCAAATGCACTTTATGCATCTTCATTGAACTCTTGTACAACAAACCTTTTTTATTCTGAAGTATCCATGTTTTGAATTAATATGGCCTTCTAGGTTTATCCCCCAGCAGCAATGGTCCTGTTTCCAGCAGGTCTTACTTCTGCAGAATTCACTTTTAGAGGGTGTTTGAACACTGATGCGTCTCCACGGTGTACATAAATGACTTCCTCAGACATAACTGAATGTGTTTATGTGAATCTCTCATAACATGAATGTTTATATGTGTTTGGGTTTGCTGGTTTACACACAATAAGATGCCAAAGAGAACCGTCTGTAAAGACATCACATTCTGGAAAAGGGGCAGGAAGCGGAAACTCATTTGCATTTAAAGACACATGAAAACTCTTTGCTTAACATAAGAAATGGAATAATAATTGATCTGTGGGATATATTAATATGAAAATTAAAGACACTTAAAAATTACATATTGTAAAAAGGAGTACATAATAAGTACTGTTATATTTTTGGGAGTCCAATCCGTAGTCAGCAGAGACTAATGACATTTTCACTTGATACGACCATGCATTCAAATGTCTCTTTTGACAGGTTGTTCAGACTTTGAGACCCTTCAAGTTTATATGCTATTCACACACTGATGATGTGATTGTCTGTGTAAATGGTGTGCACAAATATGCAAATCCACATCTTGACAGACATATAGTAGAGCATATCTACGTTTATTTAATTTTTTTAGGGTTCTATGCCTTCCACAGGTGATTTGCCTTTGAGTTCATTTAGACCACTTAAACAAACAGTGTCAAACTCAGTTCCTGGAGGGCCGCAACTCTATACAGTTTAGTTCCAACCCTGCTCACATCTACCTTTAGGTTTCAAACAAGCCTGAAGAACTCAATTAGTTTGATCAGGTGTGTTTAATTAGGGTTGGATCTAAACTGTGCAGAGCTGCGGCCCTCCAGGAACCGAGTTTGACACCTGTGACTTAAAGGAACACCACTTTTTTTTTTTTTTTTGAAATGGGCTCTTATTACAAGTCATCTACTTCAACAGTTGAATTTTACCATTCTTTAATCCATTCACACGATGTCTGGTCTAGCGGGAGCACTTTAAATTTAGCTTAGCATAAATCATTGAATCGGATTAGACCATTAGCATCTCACTCAAAAACAACCAAATCATTTTCCTATATATACCTCTTAAGACACAAGCCGTTTTTTTTTTACATGCATTTTTATTTTCTTTGCTATTTGGGCTTACTGAAACCTTATTAGAATCAAACCCAAGTACCATCTTTTGATATGATGTACTTTTAGAGAAAATCATGATCTGAATTTCCATAAAACATAATAGTCACTTTTGTGTAATTTAAAAACTTTATTTCTGCCTTGAACACAGCAGTTTTTTTTCCCTGACTGTTTTTAATGCATTAATAACACACACACATACATGTTTTGACTATCAGAAAAAAACTAAATTTTTTGCCCATTAGGGACAGTTAAAATAGTGTTTGGGACATTTAATATGCTGCAAAACAGTTGCAGGAAGTCCCTTTATGTCTGTAACAAAATATAAAACATAAAAGTTAAAATGTGCTGTCCTCGGATGAGGTCACTAAGCCCTCAAAGGGTAAAGCTGGACTCTTCTCTAGTTACTTTGTGCATGAAGACAGATGAAAAATTAAAAGTTGCTACTTTTTCAGGCAATATGGCTTTAAACTGGCGACACTGTGGCTCAGTGGGTAGCACTGTCGCCTCACAGCAAGAAGACCACCGGTTTGAGCCCCAGCTGGTTCAGTTGGCATTTCTGTGTGGAGTTTGCATGTTCACTATGTGTTCACATGGGTCCCAACAGTCCAAAGACATGCGCTATAGATGAATTGGGTAAGCTAAATTGACCGTAGTGTTTGTGTGTGTGACTGAGAATGTAGGCCTATGTGTGTTTTGCAGTACTGGGTTGCAGCTGGAAGGGCATCTGTTGCATAAAAATATGCTTGATAAGTTGGCGGTTCATTCCACTGTGGTGACCCCTGATAAATAAAGGGACTAAGCCAAAAAGAAAATTAATGTTTATAAACTACACACTCAATTAGCGTAATAATTACGGTACTGCTGCAGCAGGTGCAATATTAGCATGCAGTGCCAGAAAATAGTCCCCTGCTAGGTAACTAGTAACAGTGTTCCTTTTCCCAGTATTATACAGGAATAAGTGTAAAGTTCCGGTAACATTTGATGCTCCAATTGAGTATTAGTAGACTGCTTAATATCTGTTGATTCTGCTACTTTAACAGACATTTAACTGACTATTAGAAACTTTGCAAATACATGTCAACTAGGCCAACCCTACCCCCAAGCTAACAGTCTACTTATAATCAAATGAGAACTAGTTAGCATGTAGATGCAATCTAACTTAAATTCAACAAACAAACCATCAAAAAAAGTGACCAAAGATTTTAACCACATCACAATCACAACTTTTCATTTTCCGCCAGTCACAATGCAAAGCTAAGCTAAAAATTAAGCTAAAAATTTGTCTTTTGTAAAAATTAGTGTTCTGTGCTATTAAGATGGGAAGAGACTTTCCACCAGCTTGAAAAAAATAAATAAATAAAATAAATAAATATAAATATATATATATATATATATATATATATATATATATATATATATATATATATATATATATATATATATATATATAGGCCTATATATATATTTTTTTTTTATTTTTATTTTTTTTTGAAAAAAATGTACATAAATTATGAACACAAAACAAGTAGGATAAACACAAACTACAATAAAAACACATCTACAAAATACATTTCAGAATCCACATCTATAAAGTCGTCAGTTTACTTTTAGAAAATTAAAATGGGTGCAGTAGGATTTATAGACAAACGCATTAAAGTTCAAAGTTCTTCTCATTCTAAAATCCCTCAACCAAACTCCCTCATCAGAGTGCTTCAGTGTTATCACCTCCCAGAACGGTCTAGTTCTCTGGTCCAAAAGAGCAGTTCTGCACCTCAAAGTCAGCACATGTTCATTTAGTTTCACCTTCACCTTTTGAGGCACGAGTTATTTATTGTAAACATAAGAAAGCTCACAGTGGCTTCTCCTAGCACAGCAATGTTCATTTCTCTTTGATATCTTGAGCTAGTTTT